CTACGCCATCGCACACCGGCCTTCACTCACGAGCGCGGGGTGACGCTACGCCATCGGACACCAGCCTTCACTCACGAGTGCAGGGTGACGCTACGCATCGGACACCAGCCTTCACGCACGAGCGCAGGGTGACGCTACGCCATCGGACACCAGCCTTCACTCACGAGCGCAGGGTGACGCTACACCATCAGGCACCAGCTTCACTCACGAGTGCAGGGTCACACTACGCCATCAGGCACCAGCCTTCACGCACGAGCGCAGGGTGACGCTACGCCATCGCACACCAGCCTTCATGCACGAGCGCAGGGTGACGCTACGCCATCGGACACCAGCCTTCACTCACGAGCGCAGGGTGACGCTACACCATCAGGCACCAGCCTTCACTCACGAGTGCAGGGTCACACTACGCCATCAGGCACCAGCCTTCACGCACGAGCGCAGGGTGACGCTACGCCATCGCACACCAGCCTTCACGCACGAGCGCAGGGTGACGCTACGCCATCGCACACCAGCCTTCACTCATGATGCTACACCATGAGACACCAGCCTTCACTCATGAGCACAGGGTGACGCTACACCATCAGACACCGGCCTTCCCTCATGAGCGCAGAGTGACGCTACAGCATCAGACACCAGCCTTCACTCATGAGCACAGGGTGACGCTACACCATCAGACACCGGCCTTCCCTCATGAGCACAGAGTGACGCTACAGCATCAGACACCAGCCTTCACTCAGGAGCACAGGGTAACGCTACACCATAGCATGCCAGCCTTCACTCATGACGCTACACCACTGGACACCAGCCTTCAATTACAAGCACAAGGTGACGCTACACCATCGCACACTAGCCTTCACTCATGAGCACAGGGTGACGCTACACCATTGCACGCCAGCCTTCACTCATGACGCTACAGCCTTCAATTACAAGCACAAGGTGATGCTACACCATCGCACACCAGCCCTTCACTCAAGAGCACAGGGTGACACGAAGCCATCAGACATGGGCCTTCACTCACGAGCGCAGGGTGACACTGCACCATCACACATCAGCCTTCACTCACGAGAACAGTGTTACACTACACCATCGGACACCAGCTTTAACTCATGAGCGCAGGGTGACACTACACCATCGCACACTGGCCTTCAATGATGCTACACCATCGGACACCAGCCTTCACTTACAAGCACAAGGTGACGCTACACCATTGCACACCAGCCTTCACTCACAAGCGCAGGGTAACACTAAACCATCGGACTCCGGCCTTCATGCCTTCACTCATGAGCACAGGGTGACCCTACACAATCACACAGCAGCCTTCACTCATGAACCTACACCATCACACACCAGCCTTCACTCACGAGCACAGGGTGACACTACATCGCACACTGGCCTTCACTCACTAGCACAGGGTGATGCTACGCCATCGCATACCGGCCTTCACTCACGAGCGCAGGGTGACGCTACACCATCAGACACCAGCCTTCACTCACGAGCGCAGGGTGACGCTACGCCATCAGACACCAGCCTTCACTCACGAGCGCAGGGTGACGCTACACCATCGCACACCAGCCTTCACTCACGAGCGCAGGGTGATGCTACACCATCACACACCGACCTTCACTCGTGAACCTACACCATCGCACACTGGCCTTCACTCACGAGCACAGAGTGACACTACACCATCGCACACTGGCCTTCACTCACGAGCACAGAGTGACGCTACACCATCGCACACCGACCTTCACTCGTGAACCTACACCATCACACACCAGCCTTCACTCACGAGCACAGGGTGACACTACACCATTAGACACCAGCCTTCACTCATGACGCTACACCATCGGACAGCAGCCTTCAATTATGAGCACAAGGTGACACTACACCATCACACACCAGCCTTCACTCATGACGCTACACCATCGCACACCAGCCTTTACTCATGAGCACAGGGTGACACTACACCATCGCACACCAGCCTTCACTCACAAGCACAGCATGACGCTACACCATCGCACACCAGCCTTCACTCATGAACCTACACCATCACACACCAGCCTTCACTCATGATGCTACACCATCAGACACCAGCCTTCACTCAGGAGCACAGGGTGACGCTACACCATCGCACACCAGCCTTCACTCATGAACCTACACCATCATACACCAGCCTTCACTCATGACGCTACACCATTGCACACCAGCCTTCACTCACGAGTGCAGGGTGATGCTACACCATTGCACACCAGCCTTCACTCACGAGCACAGCCTGTTTTCACCAACACTGTCCTTAGGTCTTGTGGGAAAACAGATCTGAGCCTCTAAAATCACTCAGCCAGGAAACACCATTCAGATTGTGTCACAAAATCAGCATATTAACAAAAATTACAATCAGGAAAAAAGGCAAGAATCAAATTGTGTTTCTAAGAATCAGAGGCTATGGAATGACAGATTATGGGGGCCCCTTGTGAATCACGAACGCACAACAGTCCAAACCCACACGGGTGGAGGTGGGGGCTGCAGCAGCTCCACGGAGAGACTCCGTCACCCAATGCACCAGTGACTCTGGGTGAGATTTTAGATTCATTTGAAGGTTGTGCTGGGTGTGTTGACTCACACCTGCAATCCCAGCACTTTAGGAAGCCAAGGTGGGAGGATCAGTTGAGCTCAGGAGTTTGAGGCCAGCCTGGGCAGCATAGGGAAACCCCATCTCTACAAAAAATTTTAAAATTGGCCAGGCATGGTGACAAGTGCCTGTGGTCCCCGCTGCTTGGGAGAATGGCTTGAGCCCAGGAGGTGGTGACTGCAGTGAGCTGAGATTGCACCGTTGCACTCCACTAAGGCACAGATGGAGACCCTCTTTCTCCAAAAATAGCTGTGGCTGTCAGTCTTGTGGAAAAGATGCCATTCACAGAACAACAGGCACAGGCTCATCTCCCCAGGGCAGCCGGGGCTGCTTTTCCCCGTGCACTTCACGTTATGTTAATTATTTAGTGATGTAACTCAGAAGGCTGACGGAAGACACCTTACTGTCTGTGGCCTCAAACAGATCTGAGGGGTTCAGAGTCCCGTTTACCGTTTAGTCTCGAAGCTGCTGCACGTCACCTTTGGATCAAGCTCATTCTAGGAAAATAACCGTCTCCGGCACACACTGGGCACAGCCAAGCCAGCCAGCAAAAAAGGTTCCCGGAGCAGCCTCTCCAGGAGGCCTGGGCCCCGGCTCCGTCTCGGGAAGCTGATGCTCCATGAGGCTCTGAAACCTGCTCACCCAGTGGCCACCAGCCTGACCTCCGAGGACGGGGGGCTCTCCCGCTCCAGAGCAGGCACGCGTCCGCCGCGAAGCGCTCCTTTCACCTGACCAGCCCTCGAGTGAGTCACAGCTAACTGCTGTGTCCTCTGCCAAGGGCTTGTGTCTGACATCTCTCGTTTGTCACCACGGTTTTTTGTTTCTTTTTTGGGGGGGCGGGGGGACTGAGTCTCACTCTTGCCCAGGCTGGAGTGTAGTGGCTCTCGGCTCACTGCAACCTCCACCTCCGTGTTCAAGTGATTCTGCTTCAGCCTCCCAAGTAGCTGGGACTATAGGTGTGAGCCACCACACGCAGCGGATTTTTCTATTTCTTAGTACAGATGGGGTTTTGCCGTGTTGGCCAGGCTGGTCTTGAACTCCTGGCTTCAGGTGATCTTTTCACCCTTAGCCTCCCAAAGTGCTGGGATTACAGGTGTGAGCTATCACACCCGGCCACCGTTCTCTTCTCTTTGCTGAGGCCCTGGCTGCTGAAATACCCCCCACCCCCACCATGCTGCATCCCGAGGGGCCCCAAGCCTCCATTCCCTCTCAGGGAGCTGAGCAGCATCCTGGGCCTGAGCCTGTCCTCGCCTCTTGGCCTCAGAAGTCCTGTTGGGTGCGGCTCCCATGTCACCCTCATCAGGGCCTGAGTCTCTACCACCCCCGCGAGCTACAGGACCCAGGAGGGAAGCTGGGCCTCGGGAAGCTGCCATTCCAGCAGCACAGAGAACAGATGAGGACGGGCTGTAGGACCAGGAGCAGCGTCCACGGGGAGAGGAAAGCCCTGGGAGGCCAGGCACGCAGGACAGAGCCGGAGGCTCACTGACACTGGTGCCCGTCCTGTCACCCTCGTGTGGTCAGAGCAGCCCTGGGCTGCAGGTAAGGCGGGGCCCCCTGGGGAAGGGACGGAGCCACGTGTGCCCCGTGAGCACCCGCACTCACTCACCTGCATGAACGTGTGACACTCCATCACGAAACTCCCTTTGGTAATCTGCTTAAACTTATCACAAATGTCTGGAATGCTGGTGGCTTCCAAAATAAACTCCTGGTGTTGCTTAATTAAGGTCAGGGCCACCCGGAAGATAATCTTCGAGCCTTCGTTGAACAGACAGTCCCAGATCCGAAGCACTGTCTGCAGAGACACAGAAGCCGCGTCACTCCCTGGCGGCTTGCCTGCCCGCCCCGGGCCCCGAGCGAGGCGCTCACCTCCACAGGCAGGACATCCACAAACAGGCAGATGAACCAGCGGGACACCACCAGCGTCCACAGCACGCCGAGCTGCTCCATCAGGGCCCCCACGGCCGGCAGCTTTGCCCGAACCAGCTCTCCCAGCACCTCCTGGTCGGTCTTCAGGCCCAGCATGGCCGGGGTGTAGTAATCTTGCAGGCAGCGGGAGAAGAGACCCTGAGACACTCCCCTCACCTCCACAAGCCCCATTCCTCTTGCAGCCAAAGAAAACAGGGCCACCCCACGGGGACCCCTCTCAGGAGGGAAGGAGAAGTGTGAGAGGAAGAGTCGGGCTGAAGCCTGCAGACACAGGGCTCGTGGGGAGCGACCCCCACAGCCAGGCCTTTTAGGACATCCCTGGGGCTGGAGGGCTGGGCTGGGGGCCGCCTGGCTGGGTGTCAGTTAAAATCTACAGGTCGAGGGCCAGGCTTAGCCCTGTTAATCCCAGCACTGTGGGAGGCTGAGGCAGGCAGATCACCTCAAGTCAGGAGTTCAAGACCAGTCTGGCTGATAATGGAGAAACCTCGTCTCTACTAAAAATACAAAAATTAGCTGAGTGTGGTGGCAGGCGCCTGTAATCCCAGCTATTCGGGAGGCTGAGGCAGGAGAACTGTTTGAACGCGGGAGGTGGAGGCTACAGTGAGCCGAGATCACGACGCCGCACTCCAGCCTGCGAGACAGAGAGCAAGACTCCGTCTCAAAATAATAAATAAATAAATAAAAATCTGCAGATGGCAAACAGGGTCCCAAGGCGATGAAGGCATGCCATGCTCCTAGCAGAACTAGTCACAACAGCCAAGAGATGGAGGAAACCCACGTGCCCGTCAGCAGATGAGTGGATAAGCGAAACGTGAATGGCCACGCTGAATGAGTATCATTCAGCCTTAGAAGGGGAGGGAGTCAGCCACAGGCCACGGCAGCGGGGGAGGGAAGGAGTGACGGGGACCAGGACTCTGTCTGGGGAGATGCAACAGCCCTGGAGGGCGGTGGCGATGGTCACACCATGAGGTGAGCGGCCCTGCTGCCGCTGCGCTGGAAACCCGGGTAAGATGGCACATTCCACGTTCTGTGCATTTTACCACAACAAAAAGAAAACTCAGACAAATGCTTCCAACAGCGTGTCCTCCTTTCGAACGGACATTTGTCTCACCAAAGCACTTGTGTGTTTCCCAGGGCGTTTTTTAGCTTGCTTATGTAATGAGTTACAGTAAACTTTAGTGCTTGCATTTGCACCGGGAAAGAGTTCAGTATGTGACCCGCGTGATCGCGCCCCGCCCTGCAGGTGCACAGCCTCGGCTGACGCCCACGCAACTTGGCCTCTTGCCATGCGGGGCTGAGCTGTTCTTGCTATTTTATTATTTTTTTAGACAGAGTCTCGCTCTGTCACCCAGGCTGCAGTGCAGTGGCACAATATCAGCTCATTGCAACCTCTGCCTCATGGGTTCAAATTATTCTCCTGCCTGAGCCTCCCTAGTAGCTGGGATTACAGGCACCCGCCGCCACACCTGGCTAATTCTTGCATTTTTAGTAGAGACAGGGTTTCACCATGTTGGCCAGGCTGGTCACAAACTCCTGACCTCAGGTGATCCGCCTGCCTCGGCCTCCCAAAGTGCTGGGATTACAGGCGTGAGCCACCGTGCCCAGCCTGTTTTTGTTAATTGAATGTCTTGGTTAAAATAGAACCATCACAAACACTGACGCAACAGCACGGTCCTGTCACTGCTTTTCAGAGTGAGCACACGGTGGAGTCGGTTTAACAGTAAATGCTAATGCCTCTGAAGGTGGTTTAGCCAGAGCCAGCTCAGTGAGCAAATGCCAGGGATTAAATCCTCCCTTCCAGATCCCTGTTTTGCATCTGCCTCCGGAGCTCCGAGCGCTTTGCTCTTCTTTTACCTTCTTAGCTGAGTACATCCTGGTCCAGCTGGGGGGAAGAGGACTGAAGAACCCGCAGCACCCAGCCTGGTTCTGCAGGTGACCCCAATCCCACAGGTGGCATGGCAGGGGGCCCTGAGCGCCAGGCAGCAGGGGGTCTGTAGAGAAGCATAGCCTGACCTTGGCCCCAGATTCAGAGAAGCTTAGAGCAGCTTCCAAAAATAGAGGCGCTAAACTCATTCCCTGAACTCCACGGGGCTGAGCCGGCCACCAAGGGGAGGATTACCTTAAAGCTGCAGCTGCTTTCCTTTCCTTGAACATGAGGGCACAGCGGCCACTCCCTGCAGAAAGGGCTCATCCCTCCAGGCTGAAATGCAGGCACTCATGTTCCCAGGAGTGACCACCTCCCTAAGGTTCCTTGTCCCTGTCCTGGGGACATCCACACCTCTGCAAACAACCCAACACTGCACTCGTCACCAAGGATCCGGGATGGCGCCTCCCGGACGAGGACAGGTGGGGGTGCAGCTCTGACATTCCCCTGCGGTCAGATGTGGGCAGGGGCCACGCAGACGGGGACCACGAGCATCTCCATGTGGCTGCAGCTTCCTCGTCTCTATTTCATTACCACTCCCAGATCTTCCTCCGTGAGCACGTGTGAGTCCAAGACCACACTCTCACACGCACTCACGAGCCGGTTCTCCACCCGGGTGCTTCCAATTAGAAAATAAAAAGTATGAGGTGAAGACTCAAAAAACTGAGAAAAAGTCTCTATCTGTCAGCCAGGCTGGAGTGCAATGCTGCTATCACAGCTGACTGCAGCCTTGACCTCCTGGGCTCAAATGATCCTCCCGCCTCAGCCTCCTGAGTAGCTGGGACCACGGACGTGCACCATCACACCCAGCTAATTTTTTGTTTTATGTAGAGACAAGGTTTTACCATGTTGTCCAGGGTGGTCTGAAACTCCTGGGCTGCCAAAACATTAAATGGTTTGCACAGACTTCTATGAAGGGAGCTTCCATTCCCAGGGGTATCTCCCTCTCTCTGCCAGTAAAGACACTCCTGAAATCTGCATCTCAAACCTTACAAAGTGACCAGGTGCAGTGGCTCACGCCTGGAATCCCAACACTTTGGGAGGCTGAGGCAGGTGGATCACCTGAGGTCAGGAGTTTGAGACCAACCTGACCAACATGGTGAAACCCCATCTCCACTAAAAGTAGAAAAATTAGTTGGGCATGGTGGTACAGGCCTGGAATCCCAGCTACTCAGGAGGCTGAGGCAGGAGAACTGCTTGAGCCTGGGAGGTGGAGGTTGCAGTTTGCTAAGATAGCACCATCGCCCTCCAGCCTGGGTGACAAGAGTAAGACTCCATTTTAAAAACAAAAACCTTACAAAGCAGCCTTGTGGACTTAATGTCCCTGATTTCCTTCCCAGAAGCCTGAAAGTAATAGGTGCCCAGGATGGTGGACGTGCCCAGGCTCCAACCACGCTTTCCCAGGTTGTGTACGACGCACGTGCTGATAAATGTCTGTTTCTCGCTCATTATTCAGTCTTCAGCCAGTCCTAGGTACAGAGCCCAGCTGGGGGACCTGAGGCGTACATGGTAAGAGATTTCTTTGTGCACACGCACCACACACGGGCACACACACACCACACAGGCACACGTACAACAGACACAGGCACACACATACCACACAGGCAAATGCACACGTACACCACAGACACACACATGTACATGCACACCACACACAGGCACACACATGCACATGCACACCTGCATCCCCTGGACAGTGTGAGGCAGAGCTTTAAACACCACACATGGGCACACGTACATCACACATGGGCGCACAAATGCACCACATGGGCGAACACACACCTGCCTTGATCCCCTGGACTGTGAAGTGAAGCTGTACATGCGCATCACACACGAGCACATGCATATCACACAGACACACACAGGCACATATGTGCACACGCACACCACACGGGCACACACACGCACACACACACCTGCCTCGATCCACTTAACGGTGTGAGGTGGACCTGTACATGCACACCACACATGGGCACACATGGGCACATATGTGCACACGCACACCACACATGGACACACGCACACACACACCTGCCTCGATCCCCTTAACGGTGTGAGGTGGAGCTGTACATGCACACCGCACACAGGCACACATGTGCACACACACCACACACGGGCACACGTGTGCACACACCACACAGGCACACATTTGCACACACACACACCACACGCGGGCACACATGTGCACACACAGGCACGCACACCTGCCTCGTTCCCCAGACTGTGTGAGCTGGAGCTGTACACGCAGTGCCCCATCACACCAAATGCTCCAGCCAGGGTGTGCTTCCCCAAACAATGGCCTGGCCACCCAGACCCGAGTCAGCACCACCTCCTAGTTCCCAGACACCTTCTGAAGGTGTCCAGGGACTCCGCGAGTACAGTTTCCACAAACACGCCCCAAGGAATCCACACAAGAACAAGCTTAGGGAGCCACACTGACAAAAGGCCCAGTGACCCACATGACACCAGAGGTTCCTGGAGAAACAGGCTGGCCCAGGTCTGGGGCAGAAGGCTCAGAGGATGAGCCCGGAGCAGCCCGTCCTGCAGACGCGAGGAAGCGGCTAGCACCACAGTCACATGCACAGGACTCAGGAGCCAACCACGAGAGGCTCCCGCGGGCCACAAATGGGCCAATCTGAGCTTCAAGGACAAAAACCCTCCCATGGGTGCAGCCCCGGAGTCCACAATTACACGGACACACACCATCACCCGACCCCCTTCCAATGACCAGACGCCAATTGATGATCTTGAGGGTGGGGCTGTAAAGCCAAGAGATCCAGCATTTGTCCCGCCTCCTCTAAAAACTCATAACCTCAGGTGACCTGCCCGCCTCAGCCCCCCAAAAGTGCTGGGATTCAAGGCCTGAATCCCAGCCTATCCTGCCCCCTCGAACGGACTCAGATCTCGGGTCTTGCCACCAGTCTATAGGAAATTCCAAGGAGAGGGGCTCAGCTAGAGGCTGCTGGGGTGTTCGCATCAGGAAAGCCTGCAGCCCACGTGCTTGGACGGGAAGAGAAAGAGGTGCAGATTCCCACGCACAGACCGACGGGCCCAAGGCTCCTCAGGTGTAACCCGGAGTGACACTAAGACACACAGCCCAGGTGCTCACGTGCATGGCAAACCTCAGAGAGCCGCACAGAGTGGTGTGCTCAGTCAAGAAGCTGGGATCCAGTTACCACCTTTGCCAAACACATGAACACACCATCACCACTGCACCGTACGCGTGACATGGGGACACTGTGGGGTATGTGGATCATACCTCAACAGAGACTTCTCTTCAGTGCCTGTGCTTTACAAAAAATGTGCGTGCATGTGTGTGTGTGTGTGTGTGTGTGTAGGAATCAATGAAGGACAGGTCCTTGCTCTGTCACCCAGGCTGGAGTGCAGTGGTGCAATCTCGGCTCATTGCAACCTCCACTTCCCAGGCTCAAACAATTCTTGTGCCTCAGCCTCCCAAGCAGCTGGGATTACAGGTGTGTGCCACCACACCCAGCTAATATTAGCATTTT